TTCAAAAGGTCAAATAAGGTCACTTACCCTAAATGAGTTTGTGACCTTTTGCTCAGAAACAGTTATCTAGGTTCTGGGGTACTGGAGACCAACCTAGAATTTGACATTGTTTGACCTGATTTTACTCTAAGGTCATGACCTAGGAACCTCAAACTTTGACCTCAGTGAGATCACGTACAGATTAATACACCCGGTAAATTTTGGTGTTCTAGCTTCTTAGTTCCCGAGATCTCGGGGGGGGGGGGTGTCAAGTATCCAGCCGGCCACCCGGGCACGTATTAATTCCTTGAGGGTTTTTGCGTAGAAATTGCGGGCATAACATGACGTGGCATACCATCATATGGTGCTACACACGCATTAGTGGGTGGGTGTGTCATGTCAGTTACACTGGAAGTTATCAATTAGGATTTATCAAACCAGGAATAATTATCCTGTTGCTAACCCACGTTGTAACTTAGATTCAATACAAGGTAATGATCACGAAATTCAGAAGTGATCTAAAATGGGGAGCGCGTTAATCAAACAGCGCCACAAATTATTGAACTTTAATACCAAGGTGCAGTAGCCGTTCTGGCTGGCTTTTCAAGGAGCTGATGTTGAAAAAATAAACATTCTTTTGATGCTGTCAGGCTATCCGGGATAACCCAAAGACACACCCTGGACATAACTGTAACAGCCTAGCGGGCGAGTGAGACCAAAGACGACTTTGTATGCACGGCTTCCATGACCATGATGCTTGCGACATTGGAAACTTTGCTGATAAAAGAGGCGGACTTTGGCCCGTCAGAGCAAATATGATCACGTCAAACTCATTCCAAAGGGAGGGGATGCCAGTCAGAGGAGTTCTCAATATACAGGGACGGTGTACATAAGACCTTATGGAAGGTGCGACTTATGGTCGTCACAGGTTTCTCGTAAAGACGTTTGCGAAAGAAGTACTCGGTGAAGAAGACACAAAATTCCAGCTAGTAAATCGCTTTGTTATTGGCATTGAGGAAGGCAGGGCTCTGCTTAGGGGCAGGACGCTACTTCGGGC